CTAAAACTGGAATTTAGGTGCTTAAACCCAAGATTTAGTCACCTTAGTACCTTTGTGGATCTCACCCTTAGTCAGTCTGTGCCTCAATTTCCCATCTGTAACCTGGGGACAATAACATTGCAGTTATTCTAATTGACATAAGAGAATGATCATTAAAAGTTAAATACAGAAGCCATTAATTCTGCTGCAAAGCAGAAGGTGATTAGAAGGAAGCTATTCCAAGCAAGTGTGAATACCAAATAGCTAGAATGAATGTTGGGGAGCTCTCTTGGTGAGGATTTCAGAAAACTAAGGAGCTTTATTTTCTTCAGACTAAAAAATCCAAAATAGGACTTTTAAAACTTCATAAAAATCCTCATATTTATGTACCATTTTTAAATGGCCATTACCACATCCCTATATTTTACAAGCATCCAAATTACCAACGTTTAACACACTTGAGTATTTCAAATGTTGTCAGTATTCCATGTTAGAGCAACTCCATATGGTCAAACTGTAAACAGAATAATGGAAACAAATTATGAATTCCAGATTCATACTACTGCTCACGGACACACCGAAAACAGACAGCACTTCCTCAGAGCATCACCTCTGAGGACAGTGGTTTTAAATCCTTTATGTAAACACTCAGACCTTGAGGGCTAACTGTTATTAGGAATGTAGAAATTGCTATATTGCTCAAAGCAGAGGTTCATTTAGTTCAGTATCCTGTTTCCAGAAGTGGTCAGGACCAGCTGTTTAAGGGAAAACTAAGTTTTCTTCTAAGATAGTTAGAGGTTGGCTTCTAGCCAAAAGCTGGACCTATTTCCCAATGCTATACACCAATTCAAAACAGTCACTTAAGTCCTCTGATGCAGAAAGGACAAATTATCTGATCAAGATACTATATTCCCTTCAAATAGCTGAAATATTTGGTTAAACCCAATTGGTTTAAGTGTGAGTCCAGTTCACTGCCTCAGAGGCAAAAAAATCTCTCAGATATGTTAGGGTTGCCAACTTTCTAATCACACAAAACCGAACACCATAGCCCTGCCCCTTCCCTGAGGCCCCACCCCCTGCTCACTACATTCCCCCTCCATCAGTGGCTCACTCTCCCCCGTCTTCACTCACTTTCACTGGACTGGGACAGGGAGTTGGGGTGCGGGAGGGGGTGAGGGGTCCAGCTGGGGGTGCGGGCTCTGGGGTGAGGCCAGGAGGGGTCTCCAGGCTGGGGTGGTGGGGTTGAAGTATTTGGAGTGTGGGAGGGGGATGCAGGTTGAAGCAGGGGGTTGGTGGTGCAGGAGGGGGTACAGGCTCTGGGGTGGGGCCAAGGATGAGAGACTTGGGGTGCAGGAGGAGGCTCTGGGTTTGGGGGGAGGGGGCTCAGAGCTGAGGCAAGCAGTTGGGGCAGGGGGTTGGGGTGTGGGCTTACCTTGGGTGGCTCCCGGTCAGCAGGACTAAGGCAGGCTCTCTGTCTTTCCTGGCTCTGCGCTGTGCCCCAGAAGCGGCCAGCAGCAGCAGGTCTGGCTCCTAGGGCGGGGGGGGGGGGGCAGGCACTGCAGGCACCGCCCCCCAGCTCCCATTGGTCGCGATTCCCAGCCAATGGGAGTGTGGAGCCGGTGCTTGGGGTGAGAGCAGCATGCAGAGCCCCGTGGCCCCCCTGCCTAGGAGCCAGACTTAGGCCACTTCTGGGGCGCAGCACAGTGCCAGGACAGGTAGGGACTAGCCTGCCTTAGACCCACAGCACCGCCGACCGGACTTTTAACGACCCGATCGGTGGTGCTGACCGAAGCCGTCGGGGTCCATTTTCAACCAGACAATGGCAATGCCTGGCAACCCTAAGCTCTCCAGGGCATGGAACTAATTCGACCTGACAGCCAAAGGGTAAAGGGCTACAAACATGGGGCTGGCTGAGCAGGGCAAAGTTAGTATCCTGATTTTTAAATACCAGCTATTTGGGTGGGACTCTGATGGGAGGGGATTTAGCTAAACAGAGGGATATGGGGAGGGGACGGGCCAAAGGAGCAGGAGGTGTGGAGTGAGAATAAGGTAAAGGGTCCTTGAAGCGAAGGGGTTGGAACAAACAGTCAAACACCACAGGCGGCAGAATGGCCCAAACCTGTAGAAAGCAGTCTGAGATGAGGTGTCCCCTGGTCCTTGCTGAGCCTTCTAGCCAGTAAGTCTGCTCCTGTGGGTCCTTGAGAGTCTAGCTTGCTCCTCGCTGGGGTTTTTCTTTCCCAGGCCTGGCTTGGAAGCCAGGACACTGCTTGAATCCTAGTACCTGTGTGAGGGGTCACCCTTGCACAGTTTTGGATGGAGGAAAAGAGTGGCCCTAGTTGGGCCCCATGTTTCTCCTTCCCAGTGGTTTGAAGTGTGTTTGTGTGGGGGGGGAGGTGTCTCATTGCCCCACCTCTGCCATCCCTCGTGCCCTATGCTATTAATTCTGACCCCAAATCAATTCTGCCCCCCTGCAGACCCCATCAGTTCTGCTCCTCTTGGGGCGCATTACCTGCCTCTCCAAGGTCAGGGGAGCAGAGGAAGCATCCCATTGTTCAGAGGAGGGGAGAAGGGACCAGAACTGCCCTGAGCTTCCGGCCTCTTTCTGCTCCCTCCTCTCTCCCCTGGAAGACCCGCCTGGGCTCCTGAGGAGAGAGCTCTGCCAACTTCCTGCAGCCGCCTCGAGCAGCTGCTCTGCTGCCAAGTTTGCAGCCTCAGCACGCCAGATCGGTTCCTGCAGGAGAACTGTGTGTAGTCTAACCCTCCCTGGTGGGCTGCGGCCTCCTCAGCAGGCCTCACATAGCACCACGTGCTGCTCCCAGGCCCCTGCCACAGGTCCACGTCGACTGCCACCACCCTATTTTAAAAAGGGCAGCTCCCATTTGTATTACTAAATATAAACACCCCATTCTAAAACCATCTAGTCCAGGGCCTAGGGGCATTCTGCAGAGCGAGCTGGCCTTCTCTGCCCTGCCAGTGACCTGAAGAAGAGCTCGGTGTAGCTTGAAAGCTTCTCTCTCTCTCACCAACAGAAGTTGGTTCAATAAAAGATATTACCTCTCCCACCCTGTCTCTCATGTCCTGGGGCCGACCCAGCCAGCGACTGCTCTGGTTCGCCTTTCTCGCTGTAGTGCTGTGTTATGTAGCGAGTACCTGTCAATCTGGATCTGAGGAGCTTGCAGAGGAAGGAGAATATACAAGAGAGCAGAGGGACATAACTTGCTACAAACGCTAGGGCCCAGCAGGCCGGCAATTAGGAGTTAGACAATATAATCAGGCTAAAGATAACTAGCTCCTTATAGTTGATGGGGCAAGGAATGTTTTCTTTGCCTGGCTGTTAAAGGTACTTGAGCTTTCAGAGGGCAGCCAAGGAGTGAGGGAAAGGCTGTGTCTACACTGCCACTTTCAACGCTAAAATTTCAGTTGTTCAGGGGTGTGAAAAAACACCCCCCTGAGCGACAAAAGATTTAGCGCTGAAAAGCGCCAGTATAGACAGCGCTTTATCGCCGGGAGCTACCACCGCTCCCTCCTGGCGATAACGTGTGACTACACTGCCCACGTCACAGCACGGCTGCAGCTGTAACGTGGGCAGTGTAGACATACCCTGAGTGTTATTACATTTAATAAGATTAATCAAACGCTAACCCTATACACTTCTACTGTCCGTGTAAAAATTATTTAGCCAGGCTAAACGATTGAGAGTTCAAGCTGTAAATGGCACGCATGGCATTATTTCAAAGGCCAAAATGGCTGCAGTTGACAGTTTGATGAGGGAGAATGCAAGACTTAGTGTGAAACTTTTTATGTCCCTGATAGAATTTTATTGGCCATAAGAGGAGAAGGAGGTAAAAGTTAAACTCTTGCCCCATCTGAGGAGCGGTGAATGTCCAAGACCTTTGTTGTAATTGCTGAACCATCTTCATGTTTTCCACATCCTACCTGAGAAATTCAAACTCCAGCTGGGTATCAAGGGCAGAGGGTCTGGATCTTTAGCGTCTAGACTTATGTGAACTAAATTCAATTAGTAATGAGTGTGTCTGGAACTTATTCAGTGTTTAAGCTTAAGTCACTTTAATCTGGCCTCCCCATAGAAACTAGATAACATCAGTACCACCCCTACAGGTTTCAAAAGCATCTGGCTGGCTCTGCCTTCTTCCTGTACCTGTCAAAGGTCTCAACTCTATCCCTAATGCTAGGAACATTTCAAAGTATTTTATACCACAGAAGTTAAAATTATCTCAGAGAGGAGAGATGAATCCTAAGGCAGAACAAAAAAAGGAGATACTGCTAACTGGAAGACATGGGGATTTTTCCATTCAAATTACTTTTAAAAACCAAGTCAGAATTGGCTGTTTTATATGTTTCTTCACTGCAGTTTCTATTTTGCAAGAAGTTGGTCAGAGGACACGTGAGGAGGAGAGGACAGGCTTGGAACTTAAAATAGAGAAATCATTAACTTTACAGGAAAGAGGACGGTGCCTGGAAGGAAACTATTCCAATGAAGTTTTGATATTTGCACTGAGGTCATGTCTACATGGGGGCATTCAGGAAAGTTAAGATGAATCAGCTAAAGGTGTCAAGTTAATGCACATAAGTTTAAGTGCATTAACCCCCCACCCCATGTGGATGCTCTCATCCAGAAGTAAAGTGGTCTCAGTTTGCTGTCGCTTAATTGTCCGAGAGAGACCCTGAGCTCAGCTCTTCAGCCCCAGAGGAACTTAAGTCAGCTAACATATCAAGATTGCTGGGTACCTCAGAGGGTCCATCACAAATACTGTATGTATATATATATATTTTTTGCTTCGGCAGTTCGGGCGGGAGTTTGAGCGTTTTTTTTTTTTTGCGCTTTGGCAAAAATGGTAGAGCCGGCGCGGCAGGGAGTGCGTGCTCAAAAATTTTGTACTGATAGGGGTGCGCGATCAAAAAAGTTTGGAGACCACTACTTTAGGGTCTTTGGCAAGTCACTTACCATCTCTAGCTGTGTTTCCTCATCAATGAAATGGGGGAACCAACACCTACCTCTCCGAGGAACGAGAGTAGAGATGGGTTGGACCCCAAACCTAACTTTACTGTGACAGAGCTAGGAACAGAAATCAACCCCGGGGCTTTCAGTCTTCCCCACATGGGCTCTTTTTGCTGATTTTGCCCCCATCCTTTAGATCTCAGGCACAGGAGCAATAATGGAAAAGCCTCTTCTGTGGTCTATGAAACCGACTGTTGAAAGAACGTGTAGTGGCAGAGTACAGGAGGCACAGGATGTTTTGTCAACACCCAAATCCAGCACCCAAGCCACAACACTCCTGTTCTTCCTCTAGTGTTTTCCATTGGTGAGAGCTGGGAAAGGACAACACGCAACTCTTGACTGCACCGCTTGGCTCTGTGACTTTGGGTAAGTAACTTATTATTATCTGTACTGCCACAGCACCTAAGAGCCCTGGTCAGAGACTAGGGCTATCCTACCCTCCGACCTGCTCAGTGCAGAACACCGTCATAACTCTTACTTCACTGGGTGGTGCAAGGTTTAATTATGGGCTTGTGAAGAACATGGAGAGTCCGGGATGGGAGTCACTAGAGAACTGTTAAGAATTGTTGTTATATGTAGCTTTATATTGATTTAAAATAGCCTGGTTGACAGCTTTTGTTTAGCACTTTCCTTTCAGAGACAGAACCACACAGTTAGTTTCCGAGTTAAGTGCCATTTCGCCTGAAATGTAAGGGAAGGAGCTGAGCAAAGTATGCACTAGATAGAGGCTTTGTTTGGAGCTGTCTAGGTACCTGTCGGACAGGAAAGTGAATGGAATTCCTCCAGCAGAACTGGAAATTCAGGAGCTCAGGTTGAATCCTCATGTAAATGGCTGCAACTTCACTGAAGTGGAGAAGGGTGACACCCACTTACATCAGAACTGACTTTAGACCCATTGGGTGAATTCCTACCTGTGTTGAAGTCAACACAAATTTTCCAGTTTATTCTTTGGGGTTGGGGATTCCACCCACAGCGCCCAAACTCCAACCTGCTGCTCCCTCTGGGAACTGTGCAAGCCTATAGGAGACTAGGAAACACACAGACACACACTTCTCTTCTTTAAGACTTCATGTACTTCTTTTATTATAAATAAAGCTTCATGAGAAATATATACAAAATTCAACAACCTGCTGCTTTAGAAGCATCACTTTTATACAGAAAGTTTTCCTGGTGTATCCTTTAAAAGGAATAGGATATGGACGTTCTAAAAAAACCCCAAAAAACAAAAAAACAAAACAAAACAAAAACCCAAGGAAGGGGGAGCTTGGGCTGCAAGATTTTTGGTACTGTTCCCCATCTTCCCAGGTTAGCCCTCCACAATACAGGACAGGACAGTCTCCCTTCCAAGCTAGTAAGGTTACAAAAGGGTATCCAAAAAGGCAAGTAATAAATAAGGCTGTTGACCACGTATGGTCCCATGAGAAGCACCAAGCAGTCAATGATCAGCAGCCACGCCGGTAAGATCAGGGTAAGCGCTGCTGTTTCCTCGCCGTCACTTACAGGAAGTCTTGTAGATTGTACATTAAAACACATTAGAAAAGCCCAACTGCAACAACCATCACACCCTGCTTGAATGATGGACCAAGTGTTCAATTCTCTTTACGAAATAGAAGAGCTGCACATGGAACTGAGACACGGCTGCCACGTCCCATGGTTGACACATGTTGAAGAGTGAAACCCCCTCCCATCCCCCCAAGATGGAAGAGACTCTCTTAAAAGACATTCAGCTCTTGAATAGCAAGAATGGCTTCAGCACAAGGCATTTCCTGCAGGTGAATGGCCCCTGAGGCTGCACTTTGGGTCCACGGCCGTATCAGTTCCCCCACCTGGATAGAGCCTGTAGTAAAAGATTAACCACCTCCACCAGCCCAGACTTATTGCTTTAGACTCCAGTGGAACGAACCCTAGTCCCTTGTGACCAAGTTCCCCCAGCAAATAAATAGCAACAGCAATACCCCGGCATGAGAAGGGGATCTCTGCAGGATGATGTCCAGCCTGCCCCTTCTACCTCTTCTTGCTACCACATTTAAGGTCTGATCACCTGAGACTCGAAGTACCCTCATCCTCCAGTGGTTCGGGCCCTCAGAACTGCAGCCATACAGCTTATGAAGGAGATAGCTTCCACAAGGTTTGCCAAACCATGCTTTGTGAATACAGAGTGCTTCCCCCATGGGGAGGTGCATCTCCATGGTCCTTCCCAGCCTGAATTTGCAGTAAACATCTTTAAGATGCTCACTCTGTAAAGGAAGCGTCTCATGTTTAAGCAGCCATAGCAAAGCAATCAGATAGATCCAGAAAGTCCCTACTACTGCTTCACATGTAGCTAATATAGGGTAGTTTCTAAAGTTCTGCTTCCCCATTGCCTGCATCTGGTTGCAAACTCAACTTGAAATGCCCTCCCGAAAACCACCAAGAGCTGAACTACAGCTGAGACATCTAGGCTGGCTTTAAAATGGGTTTGCTCCGACACTTTACACAAGGGAAATAAGAGATGTTTTAAAATGGCCTTGTCCTCTCCCTTATCCCTACCCCCCCACCCCCGTTCTTTTATCAACTTTTTTTTTTTTTTTCCAGTCCATGACATGTCATTTCCTGTGTCACCAGGGTCATGGATTTCTTTCTGTGCTTCTGATATGCTAAGTTCAGACTCCTCACAGGAAATGTCAAACTGATTTTCACTTCTCTCTGGCTGTAATAATAATCCACTGAGAAGGGGCCTAAGCCACAGCTGCCTCCCCAGACCCTGCACGTGATAGGGCTGGTGAGGACACTGTACAATGCACTGTGCGCTCAGCCGCTGCCCAGAGGCACATTACTTTCGTTTTAAATTGTTCCACAGAGCGTCTGATGTATCTACAAGTCCCCATAGCTCTCTAAACCCTTCCTTATATTTTTGCTCATTGTATCCAAATTGCCCGTTAGTCCCTTGTGACTGTCTTTGGTTACCCATCGTTGTTTAATGGTCTGTGCTGATAAAAGCCAAAGCCCAATAGCACTTGCTACCTCATGCCCGACCTACAGCAGCCAGACATGCCCTGTCACTCCAGTCTTGTTCTTCTGCTGAAAAAAAATGACCACCAATGGTATGTGGTGGTTTGGGGATGCAGACAGATGGCTGCCAGAATGTGGCATTGAGACCATCAACTTCACTTCTCAAGTGGCTCAGAGACTTTAGCCGCAGCCATTAACCAATAGACCTTCTTCCTCCTCCCCCCACCCTTCTGAACAATGCAGAAGTCACTTTCTGATCCAAAACACTTTTAATGTCATAGGTAAGATTAGAGATAAAACCGGTGATCACCTAACAACCCTCAACCCCCTGCTCTAGGGTATGGCTCAATTTGTATCACCTGAGGCTGGCTGCAAGCTAGTGGCAGAAGCAAAATTTACAACCCCCCTGAGTTCTCAGTTCATGCCCTCTGCCTTTGTGTATAAGGACCCCTTTTCCACTGGAAGGGTGGATTTGGGCATCCATTCAAGAAGGGTGGGATAATGGGTCCTCCTGGAAAGGGGAACCTTCTCTTGAAGGTTCACTCTCAGTAGCAGGCTGGATAATTTGTCTATTGCCAGAGGGTGTCACTATCAATGAGATGGGATCAAATCTACTTTCCAGAAGTGCCGTAACTAGGTTGAGTGGGTTAGAGCACCCTGCTGTAAGGTGGCATCACCAGTGTTGTCTATGCAGCCCTCAAGGACAGTATCCCCCTCTTCTAAAAACAGAGCCACGTGATGTGTACAGCTAAGACAAGAGCCCTAACCTCAAAATACAAAATTGTTTAAAGCCTTCCAGATTTAGAAGCCAAGACTTGATCCTCAGACTCTCGCTCTCCTGCAGTTGCTTGAAGCTTGGGAGGTGCTGTAAATGCACCTTGCTTTGGTCCCACAGGGCTGTGGGCCTCGCCTCACTCGAGCTGAGACTCCTAAAAGCAACTGATCAAAGCAGCAGCATTTCTGAAGACTGGAGGCAGTCTTGTCTGGATGCAGATGGAGACCTTCCGGGGGGTGTTTAGGAGGAGAGACAGGATAGCAGTTTTACTGTGGAGACTAAGAGTTTGCCACATCCAGCTTTAAAGCTCCTGTTTGCCAGTTGCCCTTGTGCACCACTCTTTTCCTTAGTCATAGCAGTTCTAGTACATTTTTTATCCTACGAAAGCAGGCAGGCAGATTATTCATACCAGGTTGCGAGGTTAATACCTACCCTGCTAGGAGATTGTTATATCTGGGCTCATTTCACAGTGGCATCAGTGGGTTCCTCTACACACATATCAGCTGCTTAAGTGGAAAACACAGTTTGTCCCTTAGGAACCTGCTCTGTTTGTGTCTGTCTTGCTGCTCAAAGGATACGAACATCAAAAGAATGCTCGATTGTGTCATTCAGAACAGCAATGGGACACTGTCCTGACCATATGCTCACCCAGGCACGAAGTCTACTCCCCTGCTCTTTACCAGGATGATAACGAAAGAGACTAATTATAATTGTATCACAAATGCATCCTGCCCCCTGTCTCCGGTATGCTTCCCAAGGGAGAAGGATTTTGCAAGGTACAGGAAATATGTATTTGGGTGGGGGAGGAAAGGGGAAGAGGTTGTTTTGCTGCAGCTGAAAGTCCTACTAGGTGGGCACTTTTGCAACTTGAATTCCCATTAGTTTAAAAAACGATGGTTGATTTCAATGCTGCTTTCTCTGCTGCTATATGGGGGATTGAAATTCATCTGCAGAGTCTGGGTTTTAACTCCCTCCACCCCCAAACACAGAAAAACCAGCTGTTACTAAACTTTCAAGCTGCAGTCACAGGGCTGTTGCTTTTTACAAGTAGGAGGTCTCATTTGCAACATTATTTTTTTGTGGGAGCCATCTTAGTTTCCCTCTCATCCCCTTCCCTTCCTCCTCCTTTAAAAACAAACTAAATATTTGATTAGAGATTCTGAATAACCCCCAATATTTGCATTGCAACACCTGAATAGATTAGTCCTGTCTGTTGCTTGTCACCACCACAGGGACTGGTGCACAATGTGAAAAAACAAACCAGCCAACCCATTGGTGGAGTGGAGGGACACTTTGACAGCATAAATCTTTCAGTTTCTCCCCTTCTTTCTTCTGCTCCCACTCTGAAGAAACCAGGGCCTGCACTGGTTTCCATGAAAGGAGAGAGTCTCTCCTGCTGAAGTCAACTGCCTACAAGAGGTTTCTGCGATGCCCCAGGAACTTGTGCTTGGTGGAAGAGCATTTCTCCACTGGTCCTGCTAAAGGGATTCTTTGTGGAGCATATTTGTGTGTCCCACAGAGGGAATGTGCACTGTGTACTCGTTTATCAGTGCGGATGTGTTCCTCAGCATCTCATGAAACGTGTCCACCGTCTTTCTGTAAGCGTCCCTGTGCAGAACAAATGGACGGAAAAGGTTGAGTGGCTCTGCCTTCTGGAACACTACTGGGAAGTTCAGCACCTCTGGCACCTTCCGGTTTCCAATGAAAAAGTGGCAGAGCTTCTTTTCCTGCAGGCTTTTCTCCAGGAACTTCAGCATGTCTTGCAGCCTGGCCTCCAGGTTCTCAGAGGCCCAGTCCTGATAGGGCCGGGTCTGCAGTAAATGCAGCATCACGGTCTTCAGGTGGTAATTGGTGAGGCTGCTTGGACCTGTTAAGCTGCACTGCTTTCCATGAAGGAAGGAGAGGATCTGAAGGCAGCTAAGGTGGCAGGCATTGGCAGGCAGCTTTTTGGAGATGGAGTGGATGAACCTCCTCTCGTACACCGCAAAAGTAACAAACCAGTCAGTACTGGAGGCAGGATCAGCCGTCAGGCCGCTGCGGGGGAAATGGGAGATGAAATAGGCATCCGAGTCTTCGCACTGTACCACAGGGGTGAGATTAAAGGCAATGGACTTCCCAGACCTGAATTTTATCTTCAGGGCTCCCGGTGCGTCCAAGAGGTTGAAGGTGACGTCGAATTCATATTTGTGGGAGATTTTGTTCCAAGACTTGGTGATCGCGATCTGGAACCACTTCATGACCTGGTCGGCATCCAGATACTGGGTATTCTTGAAGCACAGCAGATCCTCCATCTCACCGCTGGGCCTGGTCTGGTTGGTTTGGCTATGGAGGAGGCACAACATGTCTTCCCCCAGCTTAGTCTTGCCACAGATGCAACCCGCTGCATCCTCATCCGCCCTGCAGACTTTTATGGTGCCGTAGCCTTGTTTGTCTGGTCGAACTGACTCCCTTGAGCACCAGGTCTGGGATCGGAAACAGTATGGCTCTGGGGGCGTGAAAGGGACAATCAAGTCACAAACCAAAGGCTTGTTCACCCTCCAGTTTTCGTACATGCTCCCCACCCCTATGGACTCCTCCACTTCCATGTCGGCGTCCCGGTTACACACGCTCCTCAGGGCCTCCAGCAAGTCATCCGCAAAGCCTTCCACCAACTCTCGCTTCCTAGCCATGTCACCGGTGGCACCCAGGATACACCTCTCGTAGAAGTTGGCCAACGCGGCCTTGTCTGGGAGGGCCACGCCCTTGAATGCTTTCCCTAGAACGGCCATGTCGTCTTCCTCACAGGCTGACTCCTGCCAGTTCCCATCTTGGTAATCCTGCCTCCAGAGCTCGATCAGCAGGAAGATGACCATGGACATGGCGCTCCACAAGTCCCAGGGGAGAGGTTCCTTGATGTTCTGCTCCTCCGTCTCTGTGGCCTTTTCCAAAGTCTTTAGCGCGGCCTCCTGTCCGGCAATCTCTTGCTCCAAACGCAGCTGCTCCAGCCGGAGGTTCTCCTCATGCGCCTTCATCTTCTGGATGATGTCCTCAGCGTACTCAGGAACAGTGGCATTCTCTTTGGGGAAGAGGAGTGGGTGGTTGACGATGGCCGTAATCACCACCAGACACACCCGGAAGATGCCTGCTGGCATGGCGATTCCTTCCCTGCAAGAGAGAGTGGCAGAAAAACCCATGGTCAGTGTCAGACATTTCAGCCTCCACACATGGTCAGAGGAGTAGTGAAATAAGGTCACTGATAAAAACCATTTTGTCTAACGTGGTCAAACCCTTTCTCCTCGCTCCAGCTAAATATCTGACACAGGGTCTCTGGGACACCCTGGCAGGGACCTCTTTAGGGTGACCAGATGTCCCGATTTATAGGGACAGTCCCGATTTTTGGGTCTTTTTCTTATATAGGTTCCTATTACCCCCCACTCCCATCCCGATTTTTCACATTTGCTGTCTGGTCACCCTAGACCTCTTAGACACAGGGTCTTGTTCGTGAACTCCCAGACAGAGGCTTAGAAAGGTGGCCGTCTCTGTCCGGTAAAGGCGGGTAAGCGTGTGTGGATTCCCAGAGTTGTCCACAGCTCTGCTACCCTTCAGAGCCAGAGGAGGACACTTTCACTGCTATCACTGCATTGTGATTCTGTTGGAAAGCTCTCCCTGCTCCCCTCATCTCCCCACGGGTGGGCGGAGGCAGAGTCTTCCTCTCCTCTGAACATACCCTGGCCCACCTGAAGTCAGGGAACAGTGGGCAGGCTGAAAGGAGGGCTAGAAAGCTCCCCCCCCGTCTTGTACAGTTGACCACTGCCACCCTAAGAGAGGGTAGAGGCACGTGCAGGGGGTGGGACCACAGGGAAGGGGAATGGTCATGGGATAGGTGGGGCCCATGGTACCCTTTGTGCGGGGCATGCCTAGAGCCCCATATTGCCTAAATCCAACCCTACTATCTCCACAATCTCGGTTTCACATTCACACGTGGGGTGGGAACATGGTTGCACTGTTTTGTGCCTCAGGGCGGGAGGCACATCCCAAGTCGCTTCCTGCTCCTTCAAAGTACCACGGCGTCACAGCACAGCCGAGATCATGCTGGGGCACGTCCGTCCCAGTGTAGTGGCTGCCACGACACGGTAGCATTTAGAAGAAAGCAGTCTGCAGCTCGGGGGTGGGGAGCTCACACCCAGAGAGGGATGGTGTTAAATACATCATGCGGTTTAATTTTGGCACCTGCTGATCTATTACTGAAGGATACATTGGAAAACATCCCTGCCAGGTCTGAACAAACATCGACACTTCTCCCTCAAAGCTGCAGTCCCAGTCAACTGGCTCTATTCTGAAGGGTCCTGGGGCATGCTGCCAAATGTGTGCCACTCTGTTTACATGCAGTGTTGTGCCAGCAACTGCTGCCACACGACACCCTCTTCACCCAGTCTTGGCTTGGGTGACAGCTTCACAGTGTTTTGTGTGGTTTCGTTTGTACCGGCTACCATAATGCACTGGGTTTGCAAACGAATGAGAGTTTAGCGCCCCAGGGGTTACTGGGAGCATGATGAATTAATGCACTGAGACTTGATATTAAAGAAATTAACTCCCAGCTTTGCTGGGCACAATCCTATTGCCTGGGCATCTACCCAACACTGAATGAAACTCCCAGAGTCCTGGCCAGCATGAACTAATATGAGTTCTTTGGGTATTTAGGGGTGGCATTTCCTTTGATTGGAGATTGATCTCTCTCTTCTCTCCATGGTGCTGGGAAGTCACTAGCTCTAACGGTCTCCTCGTTTGCCAAGTATTACCCCTGCACCTTAACACAACAGGGAAGAGTATGGTGTTTTTTAATTTCTGGTGGAACATCTGGATGCAACAGATCCATACTATGTGTGCACGTGTGAGACCGAAGGGACTCTGCTAGGAGAATAAAAGTACATTAATACAATACAATGAAAGCCAATCAGAACCTCATAACTAACTAATGTATACTATTGGGGTGGGGTGGATCCTAAGTAGGTATTGAAGTGAGCCCATTGCTGTAGCTTCTGGGCAATAATGGTAGCATGTTACATGGTATGAGAGGCTGTCTCGTCTGTGGTACAAATTCACAAGCGGACAATCTTCATGGTTTTCTCAGGTCATACTGTAACAAATCCATGCCACCTAGGAATTCATGGTTGTGTGGCTGTGCTGCCCCCCTTACTACTCAGTGCTTTATGATAGCAGAAAGACTAGAACTCCAATCCTCCTGCTCCAGAAACACAGGCCAACAGTTGAACTGAAGGAGACTCACCATTAGGTTAGCAGTATGGTGCATATGACACACAGCTGAGCATTTCCACCAGTAGGGAACAGAAGTTCATAGAAATACCAGCCAGTTCATTACAGCACAACAAGTCATGAGGCAATATGGTGTCACCATAAGAGGTAACCCCTTACCCTTCCACATGAGAATACTGTACATACTAAGAGGATACCATCTTTTATTATGAAGGCACTCTTCCAATATTGTCAGCTGTCAGGCTACTCTATCCTGGCTCCCACTGAGACCACCACTAATTTAGGCATCATGACATGTGGAGCTAGCTGCTATATTGGGGTAGTGCACACTACCCTTACCCCTCTCAAGACCATATATTGCCTTAACAGAAAAGGCACGGAAAATGTGTTCAGTGGTTTCTTGTTCTACTTTCCATGTATTTCCCCAGGGCACCACATAATTAGTGACTAACTTAGACTGTAAGCACCTTGCCTCTGTGTATTTCCAGAGCACCGGTGTGGTGGAAATACCTCTTAGACACAGGGTCTTGTTCGTGAACTCCCAGACAGAGGCTTAGAAAGGTGGCCGTCTCTGTCCGGTAAAGGC